TTGCTCCTTCCCTCCCTTCCTCGCTCCCTCCCACCTAACTTCTCTCCATCTGTTTTTGTTTGGGGGTAAGCACATTACTATCCTAGGTTTTATTTGCCATATTTTCTTTTTTTTTGATTTTTATAAGTACAGTTTAATTTCAGTCTTTATATACAGAAGCCAAAGGAACTGAAACAGTTTACGTAATTTTTCTGATGAAGAACAAAGTATAGAAACTTTACAAACTTTCTGACAATTAGCCTTACTTTTTGTTTTGTTTCTTTTTTATTTTTTTTATTTGCCATATTTTCATTTAAGTTTATTTATAAATTCTGAGTGAACTATATTGTTGGGACTATAGGGAAGAAGGCGTTTCATCCACTCCTTTGCTCATTTATTCTTTAATTTGCTTGTATAAAAAGAGAAATGATTCAGAACCCACAGTAGCCAGTTGGAACGTGAGAAAGAAAGAGTAGAACAATGACATCTAGACTCCCTCGATACACATTCTCCTCTGATACACATTTCTGGATATTTCTAACACGAGAAGAACATATTATTCTGCTTTCTTTAAACTGCAGCTATGGAGATGTTATAAAAGAGTAGATGACTGAGTGTGGCAAGTAAGAAAACACAATAATAGCAACTATCTAGCTGAGTTTGAAAGTGACTTAACGCTGCAAGTAGGAGCTTAACACTTAATCCACCTTTGTATATTCATAAAAGCTTTCGTTAAATATTTATCATGTCTATTCTGTTTCAAACCTTCTTCTTGGCATTAGGAATTCAGGAGCAGATAACATTGTCAGGAGAAGACCACTGGAAGACCAGACTTCAGAAGAGGCTGGCCATAAGTCTGCAGTGAAATAAGTCACCCTGATTACATTGATCCCCCACACAAAATTTAAGTGGGGCTATGGTGCAGAGTGAAATGAAAAGACATATTTACTCTGGTTAAAGAAGGTCTCTTTGAGGAAAATGATCTTTAAACTGGCATCTCAGTAATAAAGAAGTCAGCCTGATAGAGGTTTAGAGGAAAATAAAAGAGATGGAGGAAAGGGTTAAATGAAGGACACTGAAGCAAGAAGATGACTTATGGTATAAAAATAAAACTTTCTGGTTGCAGCCCGAGGAAGAAGGCACAGGGTAGAAAAGTGGATAAAGCACAATAAGTAGTTCTTTACTGCTGGATTTTTTATGTCATTGAGTGAGTGGAACACTAAATAACTAAAGCACAGTAAAACTAATGTGTGCCCCATCCCTTATAAAATGGTATAGCATCTGTGCTCTGATGTCATTGCCTTGAGAGAAGTGATCATCAGGAAAGTGATTGTTGTTCCACTCTTGTGTAAGAGTTCTTTTTTTTCCATCTTGAAGGGAATCTCCTTAAACAGAAAGGTAAATAACTCAAAATTTTTTCAGGAAGTCCCTGAAAATGACCAGATTCACTGGGCTCTTCTCTTCCCAAGTAAGTAATAAAACTACTGAGAGTCGCTCTCAAACAAGATCAACTACAAAGAAGACTCAGACAAGGCAAGCTGCAAAGAAGACTCTGAAGCTAGCCCATCTGCCTAAAAGAAACAAAAACTAGGTAGGTTGCCTATAAGAGGTTTAGAACAATGGAATCCTTTGGGAAGAACACTCTTCAAGCTGTTGAGCTACCTGCAGGTTGTGCAGTGTGCTCCAGGTTTCCAGCATTTGTGGTAGGGTGGGTTTTGGTGATGTAGCTGTTTTTGAGTCATTTCCGCTCCAGTAATTAACCTTTCACCCATATTCTTTTAAGTAGCTTCAAATAAAACTCATTGATTATGTAGAATAATTACAAATAGATCCATGTCTATCACCACGCACAACCTTTAGTCCAAATGGATCAAAGATTTCAACATAAAACCAACCACACTGAACCTTATAGAAGAGAAAGTGGAAAGTACCCTTGAATGCATTGGCTCAGGAGACTACTTCCTAAATATAACCCCAGTAGTACAGACACTAAGAGCAACAATTAATAAAGGGGACCTACTGAAAAATTGAGAAGCTTCTGTAAAGCAAAGGACACAGTCAACAAGACAAAACAGCAGCCTACAGAATGGGAAAAGATCTTTACCAACCCCATATCGGACAGAGGACTGATATCCAAAATATACAAAGAACTCAAAAAAATTGTTCAAAAGAACAAATAATCCAATAAAAAATGGGGTACAAAGGATCCAACTAAGTTACAGTTCCATTCATGGAAATAACTTGAGATTCCACCCAGGGAGTGGTTTGCCTACAGAGTGTTTTGGTCTAGGGCACAAGCATGACTTGGCAACTTGTTTTGTTTTAGCAACAGAATGTTTAACTATGAATGTAGCCCATGACTTTAATTGGTCTGTTCATTTCCTTGTATCATGTTAATGCAGTTTTTTTTCTTACTCCTATCTTTTGGGATCAAGGGGATTTTAAAAAGTTGGAAATTAAACATGGGTAAATTTTCAGTACCCACTGACAAATTCACTCCCAGTACTATTCTTTAAAAAAAAAAAGGGGGGGGGTATAGCCCTAAACAGAGAACTATCAACAGATGAATCTCAAATGGCTGAAAGACACTTAAGGAAATGTTCAACAACCTTAGCCATCAGAGAAATGCAAATCAAAACAACTCTGAGATTCCATTCTAAACTTGTCAGAATGGCCAAGATCAAAAACACTGATGACAGATTATGCCAGAAAGGATGTGGAGTAGAGGGAACACTCCTCCATTGCTTGTGGGCAGAAAGAACATGAAAACAACAGGATGGGGAAGAGCGCTATGAAACATTGTTTATGGTAGGTGATGTGACTGCTGCTCACATGAACTCAGAGAGCTGCAGTTACCTGCATAAGATCAAACTTGCCAAAAGTCTACCATGTAGAAGAGGTCTCAAGAGGCCCTGCTCCTAGCTAAGAAGTTATTGGCAGCTGATGGCTGCTAAGGCAGAGATGGGGGCATTTTTCTTACGTGATGTAGTCACTGGTAAGTTTCCCATGCTCCAGTAAAAAACTGCACCCACATTCCTGCAGGCAACATTAAGTAAAATTAATAGCATATGTATACACTCATGTATGCGCACGTTCACACACATGAACATGCTCTCGTGTGTGTGTGAGCACGCACACACATACACGGCGAAAGTAGGAAAGGAATTTGTTAGAAAGAAAGTAATGTGAGTGAATATGAGCAAAATATGCACTATAGGCATGTATAAAATTATTAAAGAATATTTTATAAATACTTTTAGGGTCTGGAGAGATGGCTCAGTGGTTAAGAGCATTCATTAGCTGCTCTTCCAGAAGATCAAAACTCAATTCTCAGCATCCACATGGTGGCTCACAACTGTTTATAACACAAGTTCCAGGGCCTCCAAGAGACCAAGCACACATGTTGTACACAGCTTTTTATGCAAATAAAACACCCTTACACATTAAATAAACAAATATTTAAAATAGTAAGTAGCATATTGGCAACTCTCTTTAGAAGAGTCCACACCCCTCTTTTGGGTGTGCCTTAATCTTTTCCTGAGTGTCCTTCTGTCTATATTCAATAAATTCCAACTCTGCTTCAGAGAGAGAGAGAGAAAGAGAGAGAGAAAGAGAGAGAGAAAGAGAGAGACCACTGTTTTCTCTTAATGATCCTCATGACTAATTCAGAATTTAAATACTGGAAGTATTTTCATCCCCATTTTCCAAAAGGACTAACCTAGGGCTGAGGAGAGGAACTGAGCCTTAAAAACAAAACTAACAGTATAAAACATGAAGTTAAGAGTAGCAAACCTAGATGCCCCTCAACTGAAGAATGGATAAAGAAAATGTGGTATATTTACACAATAGAGTACAACTCAGTGGTTTAAAAAAATGACACCTTGAAATTTACAGGCAAATGGATGTAACTAGAAAAAAAAAAAACATCCTGAGTGAGGTAACCCAGACCCAAAAAGGCAAACTGCGTGTACTCACTTATATGTGGATATTAGACATAAAGCAAAAGACAACCAGGCTACAATCCACAACCCCAGAGAAGACCAGAAACAAGGAGAACCCTAAGGGGGACATACATGGATCTCCCCAGGAAGGGAAAGTCAACAAGTTCTCCTTTGGAAATTGCCAGCATGGAAGGAGGAGGGGGTTAGGAGAGGGGGAAGGGAGAAGGGGAGGAGGGAGGAGAACATGCGGGATCAGGAAGATGGAGTTGAATAAAGGGCAGAGAGGGAGAACAGGAAAGAGATACCTTGAAAGAAGGAGCCCTTATGAGGTGAGTGAGAAACCAGGCACTAGGGAAATTCCCATGAATCCACAAGGATGACCCCTCCTAAGAATCTAAGCAATAGTGGAGTGGGTGCCTTAACTGCCCTTCACCTGTAATCAGATTGACGACTACCTTAATTGTCATCATAGAACCTTCATCCAGGAACTGATGGAAGTAGATTCAGAGATCTACAGCTAAGCACTGGGTCGAATTCCTGAAGTCCAGTCATAGGGAGGAACGATATTATGAGCAAAGGGATCAAGACCATAATGGGAAAACCCACAGAAACAGCTGACCCGAGCCAGTGGAAGCCCACTGAATCTGAACTGACATCTGGGGAACCTGCATAAGACTAAACTAGGCCCTCTGAATGTGGGTGACAGTTGTGTAGTTTGGGCAGTGAGACCTCTTTGTGAGGTGACTAAGCAGCAGAACTGTTCCTAGTGGAGAGATACCTTGCTCAGCCTAGATACACGGGGGAGGGCCTTGGTTCTACCTCAAGTGATGTGACAGACTTTGTTGACTCCACATGGGAGGCCTCACTCTCTCTAAGGAGTGAATAGGGGTGGGGTGAAGAGAAGGTGGAGGGAGCGAGAGGATGGGAGGGAGAGGGACCTTGGATTTGTATGTAAAATAAGATTGTTTTGAAAATAAAAAAGAAAGAAAAGAGTAGCAAACCAATGCCATATCAGCCCCCATTTCTCCTACTGCATATGTTCTACTCAGGATTTCTACCCAGCAAGCTGTAGAGGGTTGTTTAGAATGTTTCTTGTGTTTGGACCAAAAGCAATTTCATTATCACTCTCCTCAAAGCATCCTTGAGTTCTCTGTTCCTCATGCTGTAGATCAAGGGGTTCAGCACAGGGGTGATGAATGTGTAAACCACAGATACTACCTGGCCCTGCTCAGGAGAGTAACTGGAGCTGGGACACAAGTAGATGAGACTTCCACATCCGTACTGCAGGAGGACCACAGTCAGGTGGGAGGAACAGGTAGAGAAGGCTTTGCGCCTCCCCTCGGCAGAACGGATCTTCAGGATGGCATCTACAATGAAGACATAGGACAGAGTGATGAGGAGGAAAGGGATGGTGAGGACGATGACACTGACCACAAACAGGGTGGCCTCGTGGACATGGGTGTCTGCACAGGCCAGTCTCATGACAGGGAGGACATCACAGTAGAACAGGCTGATTTCCTTACTGCTGCAGAAAGGCAGCCGGAAGATGAGCACGGTCAACTGCATGGCCAAGATGAACCCCAGCAACAGGGACCCCAGCGCCAGCTGGACACACAGGTGCCAGCTCATGATGAGGGTGTAGCGCAGAGGGTGACAGATGGCCACAAACCGGTCATAGGCCATGACAGCCAGCAGGATGCAGTCAGCACTGCCCAGGAAGATGAAGAAGAACATCTGGGCACCACAGCCTGCCAGGGAGACCACAGTTCTCTCTGCAGACAGGACACTGGCCAGAGTCAGCGGAGCTATGGTAGAAGAATAGAAGATCTCCAGGCTAGCCAGGTTTGCCAGGAAGAAGTACATAGGGGTGTGGAGACACCGATTGGTCCAGGTGGTGAGGACGATAGACATGTTTCCTCCGATGCTGACCAGGTACATCATGAGGAAGACCACAAAGATCAGCATCTGCACCTCGGGGAGTCTGGAGAAGGGGCGGAAGTGGAAGAGGACCATCCCAGTCTGATTTCCTTCTTCCATGTATTTAGTGCATTGGGACTGCTACTGGCGCACGTGACACCCCTGACGACAGGCAGAGTGCTCCTGGAAGATACTTGTCATTATTCTCACAGGCTCTGAGCACAGCATTTTCTACTGACCCTTAAGGCCATCACATTTTCCCATAAGCCTAGGTTTCACTCTTTCTTTTCTTCTGCACAGATAGTTCTCTCAGTCCCTCTTGCTTTGTATGGGATCCTGGCTCACAAGCTATTTGCTCAGCCTCCAATATCTAGTGCTGTTTTCTATTCTATGACAACCTTACTTTCCATAACATAAATCAACTGTGTCAATGTTAAGTCATACTTCAGAGCCTCTTTCTATACATGATGGCCTATGCCTGTAATCCCAGCATTTTGGAAGCAGAAACAAGAGGATCAGGACTTTAAGACCATCTTCAGCTAAGAGTGAGTTTAAGGCCAGCCTGAGCTAAATGAAACTCTGTTTTAAAAACAATTAACAACAGTCCCTTTCCATAACAACCGTCTCCCATTTCCTTTATTCATTTGTTTGTTTGTTTGTTTGTTTTGGTGTAAAATTTAGGGTTTTTTTTTCCTGTGAGACCCTAATTGACCTCAAACTCACTCTATAGATCAGGCTGCCTTTGAACTCAGAGATTCACATGCCTCTGCCTCCTGAGTGCTGGGATTAAATATCTACACAACCACCACCAGGCCCCTTTTTTATTCTTTATCTCAAGAAGTCTATTATATTGGATTTCTCTGCTTCTTGAGACCATCTTACTGAAGGTCATCAAGGACTTCCCAATTCCTGAACCAAACAGGTAGTTTTGACATCTCTGTTACATCCAAATCTGTTGGAAATTCCTTATTCCTTGTTGCAATGAAACTGGTCCATTCTCCTACCTCTCTGGACATGATTCAGGCAAAGCATTTTTGGCCTCTCACCAGCTGCCCTCAGATCCATGCTCTAACTAACTTCACATACCCTATAGGATCTCTCACACTCTGGCTTCTTACTGTATTGGATCAAAGAGAGGAATGGGCTGGAGAATAAAAGAGAGACAGAACATCCATCCCTCACACAGGATGCCACATCCTCCTCTGTCTGGCCTGCTGCTGTCTAATAGCAAAGTCTAACTCCTAATCAAGAGTGAGCCTGGCCATTCCTGGAGTTCTGATCTCCTGAACAACCACCTCCCTCTCTATTGAACAGCATAGCAAATGGAAAAGGAATGAGACACATTTTTCTTAAACAGGATTCTCATGAGGGAAGGAATTGGGGTTTTTTTCTGACCTGCTAACACGGATTAGCACACAAAGCCACAAACAGATGTTATCATGTTATGCCCACATATTGCTTGCAACATGTTTGTAGTAGGTGTTGTTTTCAACAGTAAGTGCACTTAAGTCAAGTCGCCTCATCTTACATGGACATTGTTCTGAATTAGGGCCCTGAAGAAGTCACAAAGGAGAAATGGAGAACACCATACAGAACACGGTACAAAAGTCAAGCTATTCATCGGAGCTTGTAAAAGTTAATTGCACTGGGAGCCCAAAGCATAGCTAAGGTTAAGTACATTGGCTTTTCTTTTTTTCAAGGACAGATAATTCTAAACAGGTTGAGTACATAGTGTGTAAGCAGAAAGAGCACTTAGGTCTAAATGATCTCGAAGCATAGTGCATTGTTAACTCGACTGCAGTTTTGGTGAACCCTGATTAAGTAAGAGGCATTTCTCCGTAAAGTGGCTCTCACATCGGTCCTTCTTCCTTGCTCATCTTTTCTCAAGTCATGTACTGACCCCAGGCTGTGGTGGTGTATATCCTTAATCACAGCACTTGGAAAGCAGAGGCAGGAAAATAGCTGTGAGTTCTAAGGCCAGCCTGGTCTACAGAACAAGTTCCAGGACAGCCAGATTATATGGAGATCCTGTCACCAAAAAAGAGGCGAAAGGAAGAAGTAGAGGAAATAAGGAGAGGGAGGATAAGAACAAGGAGGATGAGGAAGACATATACTAGCCATGCAGCTGAGTCTGATCTTGAACTCAGGATTCTTAATTGTCTATTGGTTGCTGAGAGTACATGTATGTACCACACTTCTGGAGTTAGAGCATATTTCTATGAGTGGACATACATATGGCACCCTGCTTAACCATGGTTGCTATACAATTTGTCGTTTCCCTTTTGGGTTAGCTGCTATGATGCTCAAAATAATCTCTGTACTCAATTGTTGAACATTCCTTAGCCCAGTAATTCTCGACCTGTGGATCTCAATCTCTTGGGGGTCAAATGAACTTTCACAAGGGTCACCTAAGATCATTGGAAAACACAGATATTTACATCACAATTCATAATAGTAGCAAAATTACAATTATGAAGTATCAAGAAGAAAATTTTTCATGGTTGGGGATCACCACACCATGAGGAACTATATTAAAGAGTCTCAGCATTAGGAAAGTTAAGGACCACTGCATTAGCCCAAAATTATCATTAAAGGGTTATTTCCATTTTTTTTTACTTTTATCATATACAGTTTATTTTTGAGGATTTACTTTGAATACTCTATTTTTAAAACACTTGAGTTATAATAAATTAAGAAATAAATTTTACTGTTTCTAGTTGGGGGCATCTGAGAATGCTATTTCTCTTTAATACTTTGTGCTTGATCCTATAATGGCTGCTACCCAACAAAGCCCAGAAACATAGCTGGTCATTATTATTCCTGTCTACATTCCACAAATAAAACTTCATTAAAAAAAAACTTACCCTTGTGGTATTTGTCTCCATCTAAGACATTGATGAGTGAAAAAAAAATCTCCCCACATTAGTGACAAATCTGGAGACTCCTCGTTAGGTAGAGGAGGTTAAATTCTCCAATTTATCTGTGATTCAACACCAGAAAGCCCCTCTCAGGAGATGCCAAGGTCAGGAGCATTCATTGGCCCAGTCCCAGGGTCTAGAACACAAAGCAGCTCAGACAGTCTCCTCTGTCTCCTTCCTGTCTTCTGCCTGGGGGACCTGGCACCACATTCTCAACCCAAGGCTGACTCAACCCCAAGCTGTCGTCCTCCTAGTGGTTGCACACACAGGGCTCAACCTCTGGGAGGCCCCCTTCCTCTGAGGACAGCACACATTTCCGTATGCCAGCTCTTCCCACTGCCCCTTCACCAGGGAAGAACATGGGACCTGGGGGTTTGTGGAGTTGAACTCTGGGTTGCTTCTCTGCTCTCACTCTTCCTCTCATTTCTGGAGAATTCCCTGATCTCTTTGATTCCACTGAACCCCAGGAGGCTGACTTGGCGTTCGACTGGACCAGCCCCAGTAGGTCTTTAAACACAAATAGAAATTGTTTGGGGATACGATCTTGTAAACTGCTTTAATTGCTACTAGATTTGGCTATATCTTCATCACGGACTTGTTTTCCTTCTGCCTGTGTAACAGAAATGGGCAAGATGGTCATATCTTCCCTGAATTATACGGAAGGCAGGATTTGGTGCGCCTCCACATACTCCTTCTAGTTCTCTATTATTTTCCACACATCCCTATCATTTTATGTTTGCTGAATTAAATATGTGTACTAAGAAAACATCCATTGTTAAAAGCTTCACAAAGAAAAAAATTCATTCATTCCCTGGCAGGTAATAGCACCCTTCATTCATCATCTGGCCTATCTTCTAGAATCAGACTCTAAGAAATTCAGAAGTGACAATGACCAATGCATTATTTTCACCCAGAGTACTCTTCAAATTCTCCCTTGATTCACTGAGTGGTTCTAGATCACCCCACCATTACAACTTTCTTTTCCCTAAAAGAATGTCAAACCACAGTAAACATAGTGTACAAGTAGCTGTTATGTCTCTAGAACCTCATCTCATAGGGGTTAGACTGTATTTCTGCCAATCCTTAAAACCTTGACCAAGGGCTAGAGATGGCTCAGAGGTTAAGAGCACTGGCTGCTCTTCCAGAAGTTCTGAGTTCAATTCCTAGCAACCAAATTGTGGCTCACAACCATTTTTAATGAGATCTGGTGCCCTCTTCTGGTGTGCAGGTATACAGACAGACAGAACACTGTTTACATAGCAAATAAATAAATCTTAAAAAAAAAAGACCTTGATCAATACCCACATCTCACATCTTTAGGAAGAATAAATCTAGTACCTGCTGTGTGGTCCAAAGATCAGTTTCTTTGTTAAGAATAGACAGAGGGGCTGGAGAGATGGCTCAGGGGTTAAGAGCACTGGCTGTTCTTCCAAAAATCCTGAGTTCAATTCCCAGCAATCACATGGTGGCTCACAACCATCTGTAATGGGGTCTAGTGCCCTCTTCTGGCCTGTAGGCATACACACAGACCGAATATTGTATACTAAATAAATAAATAAATATTAAAAAAAGGAAATCCAGACAGAGACTAGCAAGCACTGAAGGCCCATTGAGATAGCTCTGGGTAAATGCCTATGACCTGACTTTGATGTCCAAAATCTACAAAAATATAAATAAAGTGGTTTTCATCGTCAATCCCAGCCCTTTTATGGGGGAATGGGGGAAGAGGCAGGAAAATCACCCCAGAAGCATTGTGGAGCGTGCAGAGCAATAGAAGCTTGACAAGGTGAAAAAAAATATGGACTTCCAAAAGTCGTCCTCTGACTTCCACATACACACAGTGGCATTAATATCTACCTGCTCTTATTCATGCAGATCACACACACAGGCACGCACACACACACACACACACACACACACACACACACACACACTGATGATAATAATAATTGATAAAATATTTTAAAAGACTAGTGAGCACTAAATTTCACAACCAAAACAATTGATTATATTATTGGATTTTTCTTCATTGTTACCAGTGTGTGTGAGAATAACATACGTGTGTGTGTGTGTGTGTGTGTGTGTGTGTGTGTGTGTGCAGACACAAATGTCATGGAGCATATGTGGACATCAGAAGACAACTTTTGGGAGTCAGTTCTCGCCTTCCACTGTGGGTTTCAGGGATCTAAGATCATCAGGCCG